TTTTTGACTGCTCTCATCATTGGCATTGAGAGTGGTACAAAAGGGAATCCCAGACAACATTAATCTTTTCTCCATCTATCATGATGTTGCCTATTGGTCTAATGGTGAGCATTTCCCACCCACCTTGATTTTGAAGTGTAATACATACTGAATACTTTTAGTCTCTGATCTTTCTCAGTAAGTACAAGTCTTCCTCAGTTTGTGCAAGCAAGGCTGTGCCATCTGCATAAGGTGGCTGATTATCTTGAGGCATCCTGCAATCTGGATGCAATATTCTTCTTCAGAGTCATTCACCTCAATGCTATCTATAATTTATTTTTATCCATACAGTTTAATGTGTTTATATAATCAAAATAATACAAATAAAATAACCTTTCTAATATTCTGCTTTCTGCTTCCAGACAAGATCTATCTGACATTACCAATGGTATCTTTTGGTCCAAGGTTTCTTCTGAATCCCGCCTGAATTTTTTGCATTTTTGTTTTGGGGTTTTTTTACTTTCATATTGATTTACAAAGTTCAAATACATTGTTTTTCACATCAGATCATTTCCATTTCCTTCACCCATCAAATTGTATGACCCTATGATAAACACTCCCTCGCCCATTCTCAGCCCTCTCTTTTTACCCTCCAGCCCCTTAGATACTCATACTCATTCTACAATAATGGTCTTATACAGTATCTGTCCTTACAGGACTGAGTTAGTTCACTCAGCAAAATGTTCTCCAGTCCCTCCCAAGTTAGATAGCAATTTACAAAATCATTGCTCCTGCATGCTGTGTAATATTCCATTGTGTGAATGTACCATAATTTCCCAATCCATTCAATTGTGGTTGGATATTTAGACTGTTTCCATGTTCTTGGGATCATGAATAATACTACTATGAACATTGGTGTGCAAATCTTTGTGCCTCAGTTCTCATTCTCTTGAGGTGTATTATAAGTGGTGGAAGAGCTGGGTCATATGCAATTTCTATGTTCAGCTTATTGAGGAAGAACCAAACTTGCTTACAGAGTGGTGTACCATTGTACAATCCCACCAGCATGTAAAAAAGTTCTTATCTTGCTGCATCATCTCCAACATTTATTAGTTATTGTCTTGTTTCACTTTGCCACTGCTACTGGAGTGAGATGGTATCTCACTGTGGTTTTGATTTGCATCTCTCTCATTGCCAGTAATTTTGAATATTTCTTCATGTGTCTGTTGGCCATTCAAATTATCTTCCTCTGTGGAAATTCTTTCCATGTTTTGTCTTTTTTGGTTTTGGTTTTTTGTTGTTGTTTTGTTTTGTTTTCCCCCCATTTTGTCAAGAAGACAAAGATTCTCACCACTGGACCAATTGGCAGCATCCGGATGGATGGTGAAGACTGAGATTGTACACAGCTTAAGTCTGCTTGGCTCCACAGTCAACACTCTCAGCACCAGTAACCAGGAAATTAAAAGACGCATTGCCATGGGAAAGTCTGCTGTTAGGGACCTCTCCAAAGTATTGAAAAGCAACGGTGTCTCTCTGGAGACTAAGGTGCATCTGATAGAGGCCATGGTCTTCGCTATCACTTGTTATGCATCAGAGAGTTGGACAATGACTAAGGAGGTTAGAAGGAGAATTGATGCCTTTGAGCTGTGGTGCTGAAGAAGAGTACTGAATATACCATGTGTGGACTGCTAGGAAAACAAACAGATTCATCCTGGAAAGGGTCAAACTGGGTGGCTCCTTGGAGGCAAGGATTCTGAGGCTCTGTCTAACATACTTTGGACATGTTGTAAGGAGAGACCAGTCCTTGGAGAAGAACATCATGCTTGGTAGGGTGGAGGGATAGTGCAGAAGGGGAAGGCCCTCTATGAGGTGGATTGATTCAGTGACTGGGGTACAATATTGGGATGGGTGTATCGGAGAGAGTGCGATTGGCACAGTTCAGAGCAGAGCAGAGTTTAGGGCTGTTGTACATAGGGTCGCTACGAGTTGCAAGTGACTCGACGGCACATAACAATAATAACTACATTTTGTAATTGTGTTATCAGTCTTTTTCTCATGTAAACCCTGTAGTATTCTGTAAACTTTTGCTATGAGACCCTTGTCTGAGATGGTATTGCCAAATGGTTATTTTCCCAGTCAGGTTTGGTTTTATTCTTCCCACACTGTTAGAAAATGGTTTTGATGCACATGGAATTTAATCTTTAGAAGGTCCCATTCATCAATTTTATCCTCTTTGGATTGTGCATTTCTGGCTATATTTGGCAATCTCTTTATACCACAGACTTTGGCTGTCAAAGCCTGATTCCAGGTTGTCTCTGATGAACTTTATGGTTTTAGGCTTTACTCCCAGGTCTCTGATCCACATTGAGGTGATTTTTGTGTATGGTGTGAGATGTGGATCCTGTTTCAGCTTTTGGCAGGTAGCAGTCCAGTTTTGCTAGAAACATTTGTTGAAGAGGTTGTCATTTCCCCATTTGATAGGTTTTATTTTCTTGTTGAATATCAGTTGACCACAGATAGCTGGGTCTATTTCTGGGTTTTCAACTCCATTCCAATGGTCCATGTTCTAGCCATTTTAAAATAATCCTCAGCAAGATTTTACTTGCATGTCATATTATTGTTATTGTTCAATAACTTCCACATTTTGCCAGATCACTTTTTTGGGGGGTGGGGGGTAACAGGCACAAATATAGATCTCTTCTCATCAGTTGGTTAAGTAGATATCTTCCAAATAATGTGCTGAGCTGCTTACCAAATGGTCAGCTGTAGGAATCCATCCATTAGCTGCTCCTTGGAGTAAGATTGGCACTTTACTCCCACAAAGAAATAAAGCCTCAAAAACTCAATGAAGGGTCACTGTGAGATGGAATCAACTCAATAGAGTAAGATTTTGGTGGCAGATTAGAAATTTTAAATACAGGAACTGGTCTATACAGCTTGAGGAGAACTGGTCAAGGCAACACTGCTCGGCTAAAAGCTAGTAACCAAAATTAGAATTGTGCTTTCCTTCTGTCACTCTGGAGGGAATCTTCTTCTTTGCTCCTCTGCTCATCAAATATCCATCTGTGCTTTTTAGTGCAAAGGTGAGTTCAAACATATAGCTAACAATGTTTTAGTATGCTCGGTTACCAGTTTTTAAATTCTTTTAATTCTGAATCAGCATCCCAAAGAACTGTGCTCACAACAGAGAGAAGGGCCTTACCACAGAGCTTAAAGGAGGAAAAGCTCCTTCAGAGTCTGTAATATCCAGTCATTGCTGGCTCATATCCCCCAAGTCCTGATTCTTGGCTAAGAAAATATTGACAGGTTCTGAGGCACTCTATTGAAATTCATTTTACAATAAAATGACAGGCCTCAAGGTATACTTACACACCCAGTTCACAAAGGTTCAAGTGTAAGTGAGAAATACTTCAGGAATTTGATACCAAGTAATGTAGTACCTCCTGACAGGGAAAGAAGGAAGTGCCAAAATCTTGTACTGTTCTGGATGATTTATCACCCATGCCACGTATTGCCATGTTGGCTTTCAATGAGCAAAATCATACTAGATATTCATACATCTAAAATGTTTATTCATGCCTTTTCAAACACACTTCACTTGAGTTAAAAAACAGTATCATTATAATGCCACCTGAAAATTACCGATTTTCTTTCTTCCTGAAAAGTTCTAAGTGGTCCCTACACCTCGTTTAATTTACTCTCTAAATATCCTGCTGAGGCAACCCCATTCTAATTTACAGATGAGACCCGAGAGACTTGTGAGAGGTACACAGGGAGTGCAGAAAACAACACAGATGTGAAATGAACGTGGTATATTATTACTAGCTCCAATACCCACCAGCACTCATGGAGTTATGAAGAAAAAGAGTCAGGCCATGAGGGTAGTGCCACTTCTGTCCCTCAGACCTTTGAGATGGTATGAGTTCCTAGACGTATAGGAAGCCTGACCCAGATGAAATGGTAATGAGTTGTTTGTTTTCTGATGCCCTCAAATCATCTTCCGCCCTGTGGCGCTTACGTCCCCATCTTTGCTCTGGTCACTGCTCTAGAACTCCCCACCTCTCAACAAACCTGGCTCTTAAGATCTGTTCTCAGCTCCTTGGAGGTGAATCTAAGTGACTGTTTTCCCCTTTCTTATGGCTTCTAGACTTAAGGTCTTGTCTTTCCCTATGGAAAAAAAGGCCTTTAGCCCATCAGAGGGACTGCCAGCAGCTTGGAGGACAATGTTGTGCACACCCATTCATAAACTTTCAGAAATATCATGCACATATAATAGTGCTGAGCACCTACTCTGGTGCTATGAACTAGACTGTATTAAGAATTCTAAATTTGGAGCTCTGGTGGCCTAGTGGCAAGATGCTGCACTACATCACCAGAGGCACAAGGTTCAAATCCACCAGATGCTCTGCTGGAGAAGGAGGCGTTGCAGTCTCTTCCTGTACCATTCAGATCAGATTTGATGGTGCACACACACAAAATAATAAAGTAAAAAATAAATAAAAATAAGAAGAATTCTATATTGACTAATGAATTAAAATCTCAGTAACTCTGGTAGCAACACCGACTCTGGCTGTGGAGTCTCTGAAGTTAAGAGTCTGGTTCCCAAGCAAGAGTTTTCTGGCTCCCACACATGGCACTAGACTACTGCAATATGATCATCATTCATTTTTTTCTCCAAAATTATTTACTCTACTATATTTGTTTTAAAGTACCCCCTTCATGTATTCTAAAAAGAAACCTCAGTACAAATTATCAAGTAGTACTGAGAATACTAGAAGAAATCGATGCCGAGCATTTTAAATTTATCTAAGTTTCATTTTATTAAAAACTCTAGAAGTTATAAAAGGTTACCACCCAAGTTTTGTGCGCAGCATGGCTCAGAATGTTTCTGAGTACCACTTTCTCTCCCACACCTGGGAAAAGAGGCTGGCGTTTGTACTCATAACCCACCACTCTGAGTATTTAGTATGTCAAGCCATGAATCCCACCCGCACGAATTTTCCCCACAAGTTCTGTCTTACCTTGGACTTGCTGGTGCTCCATCTTCTTCAGGTTCTTCTCCATCACTGGCTTGCTCTGGGGGAAGAAAATCATCTTTGTTGACATTATTCACCCAGCTTTCCTTCGCTCCTTTTGCTCTGTCCTTACTTTGTTCAGCTAAAACAGGAAACAAGACAGGAACGTTACTTCTCATCTCTATAATTTACAGCTTTCTCCTCTGCTTTTATGATTAAAAGCCTAAACCTGAGCCCAAGCCTATTCCAAGTGTCAAAAGAACTACAACAACAACACCCAAGTTAACTGCCATCTACTCAGTTAAGATTCATTGCGAGTCTATAAGACAGAGCAGAACTGATCCATAGGGTTTCCAAGACTACCAATCTTTCCAGAGGCAAACCCTCCTCTTTTTTCACCTGACTGGGTGCTAGATTCAAACTGTGGACCTGTGGTTAGCAGTCCAATGCATAAACCATGGGCTGAGGTAATAACACATGCATTTGGCCACCTAGGATCAAGATTACATTTGCATGAAAACAGAAGAAAACCACCATGAAGTTGTTGTTAGCTGCCATCAAGCCATGACAGTGATCTCACACAGGTCTACAGCATCCATTGCTCTCTAGAGTTTTCACAGCTGTGACCTTTCGGAAGCAGACTGCCATGACTGTCCTTTGAGGCATCTCTGGGTGGGTTCAAACCACTAATCTTTTTCAGGCTAGTAGCCAAGTGCCACCCAGGGGAAATTTTCCATGATATAATGTCCACCCCCCACCCCCACATCCTCTCCTGAGAATGAGTGTTCTTCAACTGTTCACATAACTCCGGAGACCACCTAGACAAAATTCCAATTACCTTCAGGTTATTAATTTGACTTAAATTGGAACTAGGACCAATGTGCAGGGCCATGGCAGCTTAGTGTAGAAGGACTTCATTGTGACAGAAATATTGCCAACAAACAACTTCTGAATATGTACAGTGTGTCCAATAAAGTGCTGGGATCTGGGGTACAAAGGTGAAAGCACTCCTAACCTAAAAGCCCTTCTCCACTGCCTCCTCCCTCAAGTGTCAAAAATGCAAATCCTCCATATTCTTCCATAACCACTCAAACTCACTGCCTACGAGTCACTTCTGACTCAGTGACCCTCCCTCAGGTTTCCAAGGCTGTAAATTCCAACAGGAAATTGCCTCCCTTTCTCCTGTGGAGCTGGTGGTGGAGCTGAACCAACAGAGATGTGTAGCCCTTGTGTGAGCAACACACGACGCAATGGACTTTGCCACCAGTGCTCAAAACACTCAGATGATCCCATAAACTTCCACGCTGACCCTCCAAGGGAAGCTCTGGTGGCGCAGTCCATACAGTGTTGTGTTGTTAACCTAAAGGTGGCGTCTTTCTGGTGGTTTGAATCCATCAGAATCTCTGAGGAAGAAAAACAGCCGTTCTCCTCTCATGAGATTTAGAGCCTCTGAAAGGCCACAGCAGGATCAGGTATGAGGCAGTGAGTGAATGATCCCTTCAGGAAGTAGCCTCTTTTGCCTTTAAATCCTAGACTCTTTACCCGAACCCCTCAGGTAATTAGCACAGAGAGACGACTAAATGCCAGGCACAATGATGATGTTTTGCCTTACCAGATGAAGCAGCAGCCATTTTTCAAATTAGACTCGGAAATTGAGGATCAAGGAATTAAAGCAATTTGCCATTTAGTCAGGCAAAAGTCCAAACCCCAAACAACCCCCCCCCCCCCCCCGCTCCTGAGTTGATATGGACTTGTAGCTACCCTACATAACAGAACAGACCTGTGCCATAGGGTTTTGGAGAAAGTAAATCTTTACAAAGGCAGACTCCCTCAAGGCTCATCAACCTTTTAGTTATCAGACAGCCACTTGACACCCTACATCACCAGGGCTCTCGTATGGCCAGAAATACTTCCATGAAAGAATAATCAAAACTCCAAACTCATTGTCATTCAGTCGGAATGGACTCAGTTAATCCTCCACTGGTTTTCAAAGGCTGCAAATCACATGGGAGGAGACTGTCTCTCTGCAGTGGAGCTCCTGATGGATTTAAATTGCTAGAGAGGTGAGACCTTCAGGTCAGCAGTACAACTCCCTTCCGACTATGCGACCAGAGCTCCCTTGAAAGCTCTTCACTTCCAGATACACACATTCAAGGGCGGTATCTCTCACACATCTCTTTATGCAAAAGTCTTCATTTCTACAGCGACAAAATAAAGCCAACAGTCCTAACCTGAACTTCTGAATATTTCTGAAAATCTAGATGGTTTTGAAAAGCAAAGAGACTGCAAACAATCCCATGCTATATAATCAGCTCTTACCTACAAGGCACTACTGCTCCGAGTCAGAAAAGTGGAGATCCCAGCTCTGCTATTTGCCAACTACATGACTTTAGGCAAATTACTTAACTTCTCCGAGAGGTACATATCCTCTATATCAAATAAGGATAACAATACTTACCGTTAAACAATGGATTTTGGAATTTTAATTGTTATGAAAATTACAAACAATATAGACAGCATATCTTAGAGGGTCAGATAACTACTCTCCTTATTAAGTTGAGGCTAGAAAATAGAAGTTCACAGCTAGTTAATGCCTTCAGCCAAGGCAAGAGGACTTGGAGCTAGAGGACCTCTCAGCAGATTTTTGTTGTTTCTGACACTTTCCTTTCTCTTGACTCCTCCACCCTAAACCAGTGCTGGCTCCAAGTATACTAGTCAAATCAACCCACCTGCTACTTGGGGCCTCTTCTTTCTCATGGATGCTCTGATGATATCTGCACCGTGGATTTTGTCTCTGTGCCTTTTTGCTTTGGCTTCATAAAACCACTGGCCACTCATATTCTTCAGCTGTTGGTCATCTTTTACTTTTTCAGGCAAATGTCTACAAAAGGGAAAGAACATTATTTCACTGAGAATTCACAGTAAATAAATGAGCTCACTGTAGCACTGCATAAGGATATTTGTAAACATTCATCCAAAATGAAGCGTTCAATGTTTAAGCAGGCCACAAACCACCCAGACGACGATACTTGAAATTTCTTCAGTTTCATTCTTTGGCTGTAGCTTTTATGTCCACTGTTTAAACATTAATATTGTAAAGAAGGATGGCATACAAGCTTCCTTAAGCCTGGCTTTATCTGTAAAAATGGATTAATAAGAGCAAACTGCCGTGTTGCTATTATGATTCAATTAGTAAATGCATGTAAACAGCTATCTGTATAGTGTCAGGAACCTAACAATCACTGAGTAACTAGTGAGTAGTTAACAGCTCATTAATTCTTTCTTTCCATTTAGGGGAATGAGTTCTTCAGGAAACCAGTGTAAGTAGGGGGGTAAGGGTGAGGAAAAAAATATAATATCTGTGGTGTGGAGAAGAAAAAAACAACACAGAAATGACAGGCAAGAACAAAGGAACCCCAAATTTGAGGAAAGGTGTGGAAATGCCTGCAAGTTTCATTCAAGCAGATACTGCTTTTAAAGCCATTCTTACCTACTAAAAAGCTAAAGTTTAAAAAGCAAGCCATTGATGGATGGTTACCCTCAAGGTGTGCAGTTCAAACTCATCCGCCACCCCTTGGGAGAAGGATGAGGCAGCCTGCTTCCTAAGGCTTCACAGCCCTGGAAACCCTAGGAGGCAGTTACAGTCACATTCCATCTGACAGATCGCCAGGAGTTGGAATTGACTGGGTGGTAGTGAATTTGTTTTTGTTTTTTTTTTAACATTGGTATTCTGTTGCTTCTATCAGGTCACTGTGACTTGATGGCAATCAAGACACAGTACCAACAATTCATACTGGCTGGGAAAACCAGTATTCTAACTGAGAATCTTCTAATCTCTTCATTTTAATAAAATAAGAATAACAAAATCTTTCTTTTCTTACATTTAGAGATGTACTCAGTGGCATAAAAGCCTTGACGAGACTTTGAGCTCTTTGAAGATCATGTGAGACATAAATCCAAGAGGGTTTTATGATTGTTGTTAAAAGTTAATGTGAGGCCCCGCGCTCACTGTGCACATTGAAGATGGCGGCCTCCGCGGGAAGGGTGATCTGGGCCTCGGTGGCCAGACATGTGAGCTCCATCCATCAGGGCATGTCCATCTCTGTGGCCCTAAGGCCAGCTGCTTCCGGAAGAAAGAGCTTGACTAACTGGTGGTCTCATTCCCCTCAAGCAAAATGTACTTTCAGCACCAGTTCCTCCTTCCTGGCCCCTGCCGTCACCCAGCATACCCCCTATTTCAAGGGCACAGCCGTGGTCAATGGAGAGTTCAAAGACCTGAGCCTTGATGACTTTAAGGGGAAGTACTTGGTGCTTTTCTTCTACCCCTTGGACTTCACCTTTGTGTGTCCCACAGAAATTGTTGCATTTAGTGACAAGGCCAACGAATTTCACGATGTGAACTGTGAGGTTGTGGCCATATCTGTGGATTCCCACTTCAGCCATGTGGCCTGGATAAATACATCTAGGAAGAACGGTAGGTTGGGCCACATGAACATCCCACTCCTGTCAGACTTAACGAAGCAAATCTCCCGAGACTACGGTGTGCTGTTGGAGGGCCCTGGTATTGCACTAAGAGGTCTCTTCATCATCGACCCCAATGGTGTCATCAAGCACTTGAGTGTCAATGACCTCCCGGTGGGCCGCAGTGTGGAGGAGACCCTCCGCTTGGTGAAGGCATTCCAGTTTCTGGAGGCCCATGGCGAAGTCTGCCCGGCCAACTGGACGCCTGATTCTCCTACAATCAAGCCAAGCCCAACTGCTTCTAAAGAATATTTTGAAAAAGTCAATGAGTAAGTGGGTCACCCATGTGCATCTGTAGAGGTGCTTATGCTAGAGAAGAAGCCCGAGTTAGAGACCCCAGTGTGTGCTTCAAAGAGGGGGGGGGAGCAATGCTCATATTCATAAATATTACTCTAAATATTTTTGTGACATAGTTAAAGGCTGTTGAAACTTGGTTAGCTCCAGTGTAAGGAGTCTTACCTGTAACATCGCGATGGCTAGTTACAATGTCTGTTCACCTCTACCTTGGATCATGTCTTCAATGAGGAAAAAAACTCTTCTCTCTTAGCCTTATTTACAATATACATGTCAATAGTACGAGACATGTACAGCTTCTGATCAACGTCCTGAAATTGTCTCCTTGAATTTATTCTTATTAAACTCTGTTTTCTCTTAAGATCAACAAAAATCATCTTTCCAAGTTGTTAGCTTCTGAGGTCTGCTCTTGCAATGAATGTATATGTGATGGAAAGAATGTGTGAATCATGTTTTGAGGAGAACACAATGACAGAGGGACTTCCCTGGTCATGCATGATCCCCATCCCTGGTACCATGTTTACACAGTTCGCTTGTTGTGTCTACATACATTTCTAGATATTGATTGTGTCTAATGAATTATGTTTATTGGGTGTAAGGGTTGGATTTTTAAATCATTGTAATTACCTTCTTTTTTCAAGTGCTCAATGTAAAGTATATAATCAAAAATAAACTTATTTTAAAATAAATTTAAAAAAAAAAGTTAATGTGAATGATTTCTAAATAGCAAGTCTAAGCGTTAGCCAGAGAACCCAGGGCCAAGGTGGGAGGGCTGCGTACCTGGGGATGGAGAAAGTATGAACAGCGGTTTCCCTGAGTTTAGCAGTGATGTCTCCTCTCAGAAGCATGTCTGAAAATTGCTTTTCTAGCAGAGTCCAACACTGCTTGAACTTTCTTCTAACCAAGTCTAGCCATTGCCCTTGGTCATGTACTTGTCACCACAATCCAGCACCAAATTCTGAGAGGAGCTGCATTATCACTTCATGGTTCTCAGTCCCTAAAGAGGTCATGTTTCTTATGAAGTGTTACTAATAGGTTCCTATTGCTTAAAGCTTTCAGCAGAGTAAATAATCTCTGCTGGGCTCGTGGTGAGGATTATGTCATGCCTCTCAACACAAAAATTGGAGTTCAATTCCAGAAGGCAGACTTCTTCCACCTTCCTCTGGTTGGATTCTGGTCCATGGGGGCCGTGTCTGTAAAACACATGTTTGAAATTCTCTTGTGCGTAGTTGCTGCAGAGGTGACCCCAACAGACAACAAACTGATGCACATGAGAATGAAGCACTGCTTAGTCCCGTGTCATCTTGCTGACTGCTGGTGTAACTGTGCCTTCTGCGTGCGTTCCAGCCTAGGGGGCTCATTTTCCGGCACAACACTGGATCTGTTGGTTCCACCTGGTTGTCACTAGGCAACTTTCAGAAGTAGATCACTAGACCTATCATACTAATCTGGAAACTCTACTGAAGCCTATCCACTAGGGTGATATCTGAAATACTGGCGCCAACCCAGCAGCATGCAAGTCACTATGCAATGACAAACAGCAGCATCTCTAGCACCTGAAGAATATTTGTTTAGTACTTATAAGAGCAGAAGGAAAAATCAAGAGACCTCTGGCTATCTGTCTTCAGGTAATCTTTTCATATTCATTTTCCAGCTTTAACCCCTCCATGCCACTTGACAGAGCTCTGGTGGCCTAGTGGCAAGACACTACACTGCAATCCCGAAAGCACACAGTTCGAGGTCACCACCAGCTGCTCTGTGGGAAGAAATATGGGCTATCTCCTCCCGTGCAATTAACTGCCTCTGAAAACCCACTAGAGGGTCTGTTATGGGTAGGTTCTGACTTGACCATAAACAACAACAAACAACGGTGCTACCTGACTGCCAAGAAAACAGATAGGTCAATCTTAGAGATGATGAAACCAAGTTTCTCCTTGGAGGCTAGGATTTTGAAGCTCTGTCTCACATACTTTGGGCATGTGGTCAGGAGGACCTGGAGAAAAACATCATCATTGGAAGTGTGGAGGGACAGCACAGAAGAGGAAGTCCTGGATAAGAAGGATTGACACAGTAATTGGGGCAATGGGGGTCAGTGTGTTGGAGTCAGTGAGACTGTCTCCAGGCAGGGCAGGGTTCAGAGATGTTGTACATAGGATTGCTATGAGTGGCGGGTGACTCAATGGCACAGAACAACATACCACTAGCCACATGCAATTTAGACTTATTTCTCCAGACAGCTCTTTCAAATCTCCACAGTCTTGTAGATGGAGTAGGGAAGTACAACAGCAAGTCATCATTGTTGTTGTTCAGTGCCACTGAGTCATAGGTGACTCATAGAGACCCTATGAACAAAAGTCCTCAACACTTGTGTGACTTTCATCCTTTCTCCAGGTTCATAAGGTTTCTGAAGACAAGCTATTATGGAAGTGGATGCCACTCCTGCTTCCAAGCTTGTTTTAATCAGGGAGCTCCACCAAACACTGTCCACCATGGATAACCATAAACACATTTGACACATCAGTGTCACAGTGTTCAGCTTCACAGCAACCACTAGTTACCTCTGTACAGCAAGTGGACACACTAGGGCTATATGACCTAGAAGAATGGTTGAACAAAAACGATGAAAAACTGGGCCTTAGGGCCGTGGATTAGAAGTCAACCACCTGTGGCTTAGTAGCATCACTTTCTGTCCACTAGGCCAACTGATCTCTATGTTGGTGTTATTGTTGTTAAGTGCTGTCAAGTCATAGGCGACGCATAGCGACCCTATGAACGAAAGTCCTCAACGCTGTGTGACTTTCATCAAGTCTATGGGCTCTGGAATTACTCAAAACTAGGTTCAAATCCAAGTTGTGTAGCTGACTGTGTGGCTTTTGGCAGCTGAGTGAACCCTTTCTAAGCCTCCTTGTTTGCAAGATGGAAAGAACAAGACCTATTCCACAGGCCTTCTATGATGATTAATGAAGTATTTACCTAACTGCACCTAACTGTGGTTGGACTTTGGTAAAAAGTCAGGACATGTGAATCTTTTGGGTTATCTTTCCACATTTCTTTACCCACCAACAC